TCCTCTTCACTTATCTCTCACTCACACCCTTTCCCCTTTCTCTCTCGCCTTTTCTTCTGCTTCACTCACCCCACCTCTTTACTCTACTCCTCATTATTTCTCTCTCATCCCCTCTACCTATCCTTCTCTACCCCCTCTCTCACACTCCCAGTCATCTATAGTACCTACAGGTCATCGTACCTGATAATTGGTGAAAATATTTAATTATCATTGAGGAAAATATTTTAAAAAAAATTTAAAAATATTACACCTGACCAACTTCCTAATTTTTATCATGATTTTATTGTTAACCATAAAATATTGTTATACCAGTGGTTATAAAACAATTAATTTAAAGACTGCAGGCAATTTATCCCCTGATCAATATATAAATTAATAATATAAACAAAGACCTACTAAAAAATAGAAAATTACTTACCCTATATCTGAATCTWCTATTAAACTTCATCTTAGAAACATTGTTAACACATTTCGCACAAGTCATACAGCTGAATATGATATTTAATTGAAAACTTTTCACTGATTAATACCATTTCTGAAATTTCAATAAAATGTTCAACAATATTTTATGACATTACAGATAATATTATATAGCTAAATAACCCGTTTATTATTTAATTTTTACCGTATATATTATATACGTTATATACTATATAACTAATGATTATATGTGTTTTAAATATTTTATGCAAGATCTTATAAAATTTGTATGTATATGAAGATATAACATTTCTTCACTAGCAGCAACAAGTTACCTATTGGCTACTAGAACTCTGATATCAGTTCATTGTTATTTTAATAATTTTTTATACAAAGCTTAATTATTATTGCTTATTATAATTTGTTTATTTATTTTATTTCAATAATATTTAAAAATATTATTCCAATTTATTATTTATTAATTTTTGATATATTGTGTTTTAGAAAATAAATGATAAATTCAATTCCAATATATAATAWACAAAATAATTATAAAATTGTTTTTAAACTATTAAGCAATATGCATTATAAATATAAAGTATAAGTAGGTAATAAATTAACCTATGCGAGTTGTTGGCTTATTGTATAATATATTTTGTATGCATATTGTATAATATTATATATCATAATAAATACCTAAAGYAATTTATCCAATAAATCATTTTCTGATAATTTCGAAAATACAACTGTATAGTATAAAATTAACTATTTTTATTTTTTTTTTTACATTGTGTTTTAAAAAAGTATTACCTATATTATTAAAATAATAATAAATTCTGTTCAAAAGCATTTGATAATTTTATAGTTATTATCAGTTATGAAAATATAATTTTAAGCCGCAAAAAAATTGGTATGAAAACAAAGTTAGGTACCTTAAATATTAATACATTYGGGCTTTGTTGGAGTCCGCGACGTGTATGCATTCCCGACGTTAACATGGAAACGCATCAGATATTGCTGAATTGAAGTCTAAATCAATTGTGGATTATGAAGAAAAAAAATATACGGAAAGCAGGATGTTTTTCGTTCATTTTTGCTTTGCCATCTAATTGAAATGTTAGAATCTTTAATCGACTGCGTCTCCGCAACGACTTTGGCAATCGCCATAGATTATATTATACTAAATCAATTAGATAAATTCACAGATAATAATATGTATTATTATACAACTTTTATATCAACGATGTCCGTTTAAACTATTTTGTTCATTGAAATAATGAAATGTGATAACTATACCGAAATAATGTATGATGGTGTTTGAATTTTAAAAAAACACATGCATATTTTTACTATATTATATTTTTTATAAATTATTGAATAAAAATGATGACTAAAATAAACGTGATGATTACCAATTTCAAACATATTTTTGGAATGAAAAATATATAAAAAACTAAGAGAAGAACTAATCATAAGCCATTACATTGGAACAAGTCTTGGTCCAAATCCAGACAACGAACTATTTTCTATACGTCAGTCGCCGATAATAAGTTATAGCTGTTAAAAGAAAATAACAATAAAACAATAAATGGTTGTCGCATATGCCAAAATGAATCGTACAAACTATAGTCAGCAAGTTCATAAATAGTAAAATCTACATTAATTCTATACAATATTTCACRAATATACGATTTATTTATAGTTTATATCTATTTTAAGCATATTTATTTTTTGGTTTGTGGAAGTAATATAAAAACTTTCTGTTTAGAATAAAATGTAGGCGTGAAACATAAATAATAATATTGTTGGTAGGCTGCTGGTCCTATACGATTATTTTTTACCGTATCAGAGTAACTCGGTAACCGAAAAGCGCCACCTATCATGACACGGCGGAAACGTGAAGAGGGCCGGTCTATTATGAGTAAAAGGTCTATCACACTAGTTCTCCCGGAGTGTACTAATAGGTGTAAAGATGGCGCAGTTGGGCTCTTCGATTTCTTTATTATCTTTGGAAACTATTTAGTTAACAATTTTTGTTTATTAAAGGCGCCTTGCCGCCCCTTCGAAGCTTACCGTAAATGCGAAATGTGATAACTGATAACGGGTGAACACACTTTCCGGGTAGGATTCATCCACGATTTAAGTATTAAGGCTATAGGGCCAATATTTTAATTTTTAGTAAAATCTATCCCCTCACTTTTTCACCATGGTAAGTCACCGATCAGCGCTTATTGCTTTTACTTGTACTACCGTTGAAGATGCATTTATTTTAAATATTTTTATTTATATATTTTTTATTTTGTTTTACAGAAACCTTTAATGTTACAAGGGCACGAGCGTGCCATTACTCAAATTAAATACAACAGAGAGGGTGATTTATTGTTCTCATCTGCCAAGGACGTAACACCAAATGTTTGGTATTCGTTGAATGGTGAACGTCTTGGCACGTACAATGGCCATACTGGAGCTGTGTGGTGTATTGATGTTGATTGGAAAACCACAAAATTTTTGTCCGGAGCTGCAGACAACACCTTAAGGCTTTGGGATGTTGCTACTGGTAATTATTTGTAACCTTTATTTAATAGCTTTATAGAAGATAAATAATTTTAAAATGTCTTTTGCAGGTGTGGAGATTGGTAATATTAGTAGTAATTCGGCCGTGCGTACGTGCTCATTCAGCTATTCAGCTGATCTTGCTAGTTACTCAACAGATCAGGCCATGAAACAAGATTGTGAAATTTTTATAGTGGATGCTCGAGATGATGAATCTTTTAGTAAGTTATTTTTCTAGTTATATTTTTATCTATCAAAAATATAACTTTTGAACTTAACAAATTAAAGTAAATAACTAGTTTTTATTTTGAATTAAAAGTTTTGAATTTAAAGATTTACTAAAACTAATTTAATAATTTAATTTAAAACAATTGTGATTTACGTGTAGTAAGCATGTAAGAATTAAATTATAGATAAATCAATATAAAAATGTATTATCCTAAATGTTTTTTAAATTTCAAATTTCAAATAACACAATGTTAAATATTAACACTTGATAAATGACTGTATTTTGAACGTAATTATTAAATAAACAAACATATGCCTATTTAATAATTGATAATTATGATTTCTATTATAGAAAGTAGCGCTCCAATTTTGAGAATGACTGTACCAGATTCCAAAGTGACTTCCTTAATTTGGGGTACATTGGACCATACAATCATTACTGGACATGAAGATGGTGCCATTACTCAATGGGATTTGAGAGTATGTCTAATCTGTATTTTATAGAAATTAAATGTATATGATAAATTTTATACAATGAAGTCTCAATAACTTTAATTTCAAATGAAATAATAGAACATGTTTTTAAAATGATTATTTAATAACTTGTTTAACTTGAAGAGAAAAAAAAATAAGATTTTGAGTTATTTTAACTTTCCTTTGTATAGGTGTATATACTATTTATGTATTTTGTAGACTGGAAAGAGCATTGAATCTGTTAAAGACCATCAAGGATCAATCAATGACATGCAAAAGAACCGACAAGGTACTATGTTCGTTACTGCATCAAAAGATAAAACCGCAAAATTATTTGATGTTGATGATTTATCGGTCCACAAAGTTTATGTGACTGAACGACCTGTCAACAGTGCTTCTCTTTCACCTAAATATGATCATGTTAGTATATATTTTATAAAATGTGCCAATATTATATTACATATTATACTGAAATTTCAATATTGCTTATTTTTTTTTTTAAAAGGTYGTATTGGGTGGTGGTCAAGATGCTATGGATGTAACAACAACAGCAGCGCAAGCAGGAAAATTCGATGCCCGATTCTTTCATGTAGTTTTTGAAGAAGAATTTGCAAGAGTAAAAGGTCATTTCGGTCCAATAAATTCATTAGCGTTCCATCCAGATGGTGAAAGTTTCAGTACTGGTGGAGAGGATGGTTTCATTAGGGTACAATCATTTGATCCAACTTACAAAGAATTTAGATTTGATTATTGATTATTTATTCTACTGTCAATGTTAATTCAAAAAAAAAAAAAAAAAAAATTTAAATAAAATATTCAACATCAATTGTTTATGAAGTTATCTCACTAAGACAACTGATTTTATAATATACAGATAAGCCGTTCTATTGTTAATAGTGAAAGCGGCTGATTGCATTCAACAGTTAGACATTACTGTGTTCGATTGCATTCAAGAAGGGTGAACATAGGATGGGTGTTGTTTTACTATGCATACTACGATAGCCGATAATATTATTTTTTTAACTATAAATAACGCTATACAATCTATTGGATTTTTGCTTTACTATTGATCAGGTTTCCAAATAAACAGCCTTATAGCTTATCTGTATATTATAAAATAAATGCTAGGACCCATGTTGTTGAATCTTGTCAATTAGTAAACCCTATGTTCTTTTAAATCCTTTTATTACTCAAATTGTGTTCTATTTTACTATACACATCAGTATATCAACTTTTACATTTAATTTTAAAGTTAACTTATCAAGTAAAATACAATTTTAATTGTTAATTAGATGCCACACTAGCATTTTTTGTCTCCGTCTAACAATCTTATAACATCAGATTTGTGTTCAGCAGTTCATTGTTCATCTTAAACTTCATTCCTTTATTAGTTTGAATGTTGATGAGAATTGACATATTAACAAACTTAAGGTATCAATTATAACCTATACTTTGTTGAARATGCTTTTTAATATTCTTATTTCAATTAAGTTACGAGCATTTTTAAATTATAATATTTACAAACTTTTCACTCATTTTCAATTTACAGTATCAAAATAAAAATGAACAATGTTGTTACTACTTTAAGTCTTTATCTTTTCTTATAGCCAATACATTGTACTCTTAGTTTTTTTGTATAATACATTCATCATTATTTACTAAATATAGTGAATATATTTAACAAAAATATTTTTGCAATAGAAATATATGGCTATACAAATGAGTATCCAGTAACATATCTGAGAATATAGTCCCACAATTATAATTAATATGTCATATAGATAATGTTGATAAAAACCAACTTAAAAACATCGTAATATTGTATTATATTACTCTAATTAAAAAAATCTGTTAATATACAATCTTTGATGGATTAAACGAACTATAATCTAATTTGAGATTGGTTGGATCAGTTTAGTTCCTTTGAAAAAAGTTGTATATTACATGCTCAAATGCATAATCATGACCTAAACTCTATTAGTGTAGAAATTAAAGTAACCTAATCCAACCTATCTGTGATTAACCAATAGTTTTGTTTAAGTTCGTTCACCTCACCAAATAAGTWTTTTTAAATGACAGATTTTTTTTTATCAGTGTAGATACTTAATATAAAATAGGAACGGTGTGAATAGGTAGATTCTTGGTATAAAAAAACTTAACGTAGATTATGTTTACGTAAAATAAATGAATAAAAACATGATGGTGACAAGTTTCCTACAGATAATATATTTCGAAATACAACAACATAATTCAAACTGTTATATATTATTTAAGTATTACACTTGTCGACTATTGATTTTGGAATGTCTATATTTTTAAAAAGTTTAAATTTTAGAAATAAGTGAAATTAGAACAACTTAATATGAGGTACCTACTTTGTACTACATTTTCAAGCCTTAGCTATTGAAATTGAAAATTACATTAACGATTGATCTGCGTTGAAAAAATAATATCGTAATAATAAAATAAGGTACTCTCATAATGAGACATCGTAGAAACGGGACCAATGTCGCAGTGGTATTTATCTACAAATACGACCAAAGCGAAAAAGTAAAAAGTCGCGATCACTTGACGAATTAAAGTATAATATTATAATAATATAATAATTTATATGTTATATATAATATTACGTATTTGATTAAGTCGAGATTATTGTAATACAGTAAATTTTGAATATAACTAAGTAATTAAATTTAAAATAGTAATTATTTATTAATGTATAAAAAAATTAGTAAGTATATATTTTTTTATTTATTTTTTTGTATTTGCTTTTTATTACCTATAAAATAATTATAGCAAAGCGATTACAAAATAATCAGTRTTATTATATTGCATTTTTATTAACTTAACATTTCCATGTTATATTCCAAGTTTTTACCAAACATGCGTGAATTATAGGACTGAAGCAAAATGATCAATCAAGTCATATTTAAATTAATTTTCCTATTAAAAAAATTCTCAGATTTCCTAGTCTTAAAATGAATTCGTACCAAACACTCCTTAACTCTCGCTGTGTTCTTCTACAAACACACTGCTGCACAAAGTATTGCATTTAAAGCTAATTCAGGGCCGTTACTCGTACTTAACCGCATCATTATTACTTATAAGCATAGATTCATTAATAACAACATAATGTGCATTATTTGTGTGTTTAATGTATGTTATCGTAGTAAATATTTAGGTTGACGWTTTTTTAGGTAACCAAACAAGTTTTGAGAGTGATCTAATATCGTGTTCCTTATAACATTACATTTCTATAAAATTGTATTTTACAAGCACATATTACTTTTTATTGCCATTACTGCAAACTGCGGTATTATTATAAATACATTTTGGAGTGCCTATATCATCAGATCAATAACATTTAGAATATTATATTTTATAATTTGTTGATTTAGCAGACTTAGTGTCGAACGAGTTTGGACTCAAACATTTGGAAAATTGTCGAAATAATAATTTCACTATTCCGAGATCGTATCCAGGCCGATATCACAAAACCATATAGATAACACCGACACACGTGCCTATGTATTATACGCTCAACGTGTGTAGGTAATTAACTTAAGTTGTCCGTGATAATTTGTCAAAAAATTATCGTGCACGCCCGCTAAGTATTTTTGTTACGTTTAAATTATGATGTCGACAACRAGGAAACAAATATTAAAGTTTTTATTCAATTAAAATCATAGAAAAAATGTTATTCTCRGTAAATAAAAACAACTCGCTAAAATATTATGATTTATCATATTTTTGTATCAAACGTTGAACATTGAACACATTTTTTAAGACCAAATTTTAAGTGCATATTCTTGCTGTTTTTTTATGCAATAGCGTGCATACACATCTTGAGATTTTTAAGTACCTACTAGACGTCCTCAGCCCTATTAATAGTTATTACATTTTTTAAGCTCTATCTATTCATCGACTACTTCGGTACTCAAACTTAAGTTTAATCGAAAAAATGAATTTAAACGACAACGTTTGACAGGCAATATTTATAAAACTATATCGAATAACATTTWAAAAAAATGAATAACACAAAAACAATAAAACGATAAAAAACAGACAATTAATGTTTTTTTTTTAAATTATTATTATTATTATCGTAGTATAAGTATTTTCGGTCAGTGAATTGCCATGTCTAACGTATCCGTCCAATGTTTTTTTCCTTTGTATATTATGTATGCACATATCAATCGACGACAAACCACGACGTCGGCGGTATGGGGTTCTCATGAAAAATCGACCACCCTGGATGGTCGCGGTCACCTGACTTGGTTTACCACTTCATCACAAGTCTTTACTGAATGTCGCCATGGTGGTCGCCAATATTCGGACAAGCGCAAGCGTTCACAAGCATTTWAAAAAAAGTTCCATTTTACCTCTTTTTCTGTAGCGCATACATTTTTAATTTCATACTTCGAAGAAGAATATTTTTCAGGGTATTTCTTCGATGTATAAAAATCGAATTTAGGACAAGTATAGGTAGTTAATTAGATTTAAGTATATATTAGAGTAGTGCGGATGAACATTTTGGGGAGTATCCACCAGCCCGGGAGTCTCCCCACCCTATCTAAACTTTGAATACACTTATACAACATAGGTACTATACTGTTTCGAAATTCGATTTTTATACATTATTTAGGTAGGTATACCTACTCCAAAAAATGAATTCACCTTAGGAGTACAAAATTAAAAATATATATTATTGTTATTAAAAAAAAGTAAAARTCAATAAAAGATAATAATGATAATATAAATAAAATATTGTTATTAGGTATATATATAAAAAATTTTGGAATAATTATATTTTTAACGATTTAAAATTAAGCGATAAAAAATATTCAATATTTTTCGATAAAATAGGTATCTCATCGCTTGCCGATCYCTAAGGCCACTTTTCATGGGCGTCCGTAGAGGGTATGTTCAGGGTATGCAGCTGCATATCTTGAAGCTATTTGAGGGGTGAAAATCGATACTAGAAAAAAACATTTTTCGTGCAAAAAAAATAATTATAGTACATGTATATATTAAAATATTTATAATTGCAACAAATGATTAAAAATGAGAGAAATTATATCAGACTAACGGCAGACAACGTTCGATTCACGTATAAAATCATAATAAATTATGTGATTGCTATGCTAAACACCGTCCGAGCATAAACATACCGATGGCCGGGTGTTATTAGCAAATTAAGACATCCAATTATAAGTTAATAACTACCAAGAATTTTCGAAATATATACTTTTTGTATTTAGTCATGTTATTTGTTACAATATTTTTTTAACTAAACAGTAAAACTTTTCAATATTTGTGTTTAGCGTAGGTGGATAAATTATCAGAATTTTACATGCTTGAAATAATTTTCGGGGCACGCCAGTGGAAGCCTTTTGCGTAACCTAAAAAAAAGGCCTATGCCACTTTTACGCCTGTTTGTGTTGCGTTTCCAATACCTATACAACTATGTGCTTGCATTAATATGCGATCGACCATATGTGATCGATTCGAATGAGAGAGAATTTCCGATACGAATCGCGTGAACTGCAGAGAAGGTACGGTTATAATATTACACTTAGCTGCAGCTGCAATACGACCTACCGTATGATTGTAATAATAATAATATAAAACGACGCGATGCAATGCCAATCGGCGGGGCCCACGCGCTCTTATACAGCCGCAAAAAAATTAGAATATTCGCTGACGGAGAAAGCTATTCGGTGAAATCTACGAGCCACTAACGTTTTATTTATAATAAATTATCCATTATTATATTGTCTTAGTGTCTTGACGTAAAAAATT